AAAAAAATACTTGAAATAAATCAAATTCATATAAAAGGTTTAGTTTGGCTCCCACTTCTCAACATTTCCACCTATGACTAATTTACCTCATTGCTCTGGGCCTGTGGCCAGCACTTCGTGGCAGAAGCATGTGGTAGAGGAAGCCCATTCACCTCATGTTTGTTAGGAAAACAGAGAGGAGACCGGGGTCCCACACCCCCTTCAAGGGTAGGCCCCACCCTGCCTCCTCCAGGCCTCACCTCTGAGGGTTTCCACCATCTTGCATTAGTACCATGCTGATGAGCAGTTCTGAGTGGGGCATTTAAGATCCAGGCTACAGCACCCACTGTTGCTGTGTGACAGTGGTGCCCGTGTGAGGCACTGAACTGCAAGCCGACCTGTTGCTGCTGATCAGGGTGGAGAACCAATATTCCAAAGCCTGGAAAAGGAACAAGGACATTTGACTTCTCATCCTGGTAATGGGACACAGGCGGCCACGGACTATCCTGGTGGCTACGGCTAGGTTGAAGGTTAGGTTTATTAGCTCAGAAGTCTTTAAACAGTTCAACTGTTAAGTAAGCAGGGTCAGTATGCTTGTTTTTCTTTTTACTGTTTTACTCCCCCCACCCTACCCCGGTACCGGGAATCGAATTCACGACCTCACGCTTGCCAGGCAGGTGCTGTGCCACTGAGCTAAATCCCCAGCCCCTTACTGTTTTACTTTCATTTGTTCTGCTTTGCTTACTATATGGATCAAACTTTGTCCAAAGAGGAAAAACAATTTAAGCAACATTTACAATGTCTCTTAAAAATATCCGAATATGAAGTTTCTGAACCTGAACTCTTTAATCGTTAGCCACCAACAATGCCCTTGGCTCCTGCTGGAGGGCAGCCTGGAGGTGGAAGATTGGGAACGTGTGGGCTGAAAACTAAGACAATCATGGAGCTCTGTAAAAGTCACACACCTTGCTACCTGGTATCTTCGCACATCGCTATCCAATCTAGTCAAACAAAGGAGGTCCCCATATAAACCTTCTTCCTCTGCTCTTGGCTCCCTCTGAAAGCCCCCTCCATCTCTGAGCCCCTGGGACAGTGGAGGCAAACCTGCACCACAGAGGGCAGCTGTATCACTGAAATCTCTAAAAGGTTCCCCATCACTGCCCTAGGGAAGGGGGATGGGGCTGTACATTACAATACCATATACCAATTGGACCTGTTTTACAAAAAAAAAAAAAAAAAAATTGCTAAAGACAAAAGAAGTCAAGCCAGTAAATTATCCTTAACTGAGATTTATTAGGAAAATGGCCCAAGGACACCTTGACCAGCACATCTGAAGATGCACTCTGACTTAAATGCAACTGTCTTGTGCACCTCTCTGTTCAGTCTGTGCTAAAAATGGGTTACAATTCCTGAAACTGCTCCCTTGAGGCTCCCTCGCGATGAGTGTTCTCGCTGGCACAGTCCCTCCGGACCTCTTCATGTTTGGACCAAGTCTCGTCTCCAAGTAATTTTTTCATCCTCTGCGCCACCCTGATCATACACAGTGACATCCTCTCAGCATAGTTATAAAAGCAGAACAGAATGCAAAAAGTAGCCATTTAAGGATTGAAGAACAAAGAATAGCAGGAGGACTGGGGAGATAATCAGCATTCAGTGTTCCACCAACCAACAGAGTTTGTCCTTTTTTCCTCAACTCCAGCGTGCCTGCCCTTGCCCGGACTCGGGTGGCGGGGATGTGGAGAGGACTGGAAGTGAGCATGCCGCACGGTGCTCCGGGAGCAGCAGGTAGGTCTCCCAGGCATGGCAGTGGTGGCAAAAGGGCCACACACCTTACATCCTGAGGGGGGGGAAACAACTCATCCACGGACCTGTGTGTCCCTAAGGGAGGAGCACATGCCCATTGCTTTGTTCTCTGTGTCTTCCCAGGAAATACAACTTTGTGGGAGTGCAGGCACAGCAGTGTTGGGAACGTCCCAGCCTCTCGGTAGAAGCACCAAAAAAGGACATTCCCCAGGGAACTGGCAGCACTGAAGAAAATCAACTCCAGAAAGCTTTGGCAGGGATGTGACCCTAACCAGGACAGTACTGAGGCAGCACGCTGCACTAAGGGGTTCAGCTCAGTGTCAAACACAACCAGATCTGAACAGCACTGCAAAGGCTCAAGAGCACTCAACGCAGAAACCACAACCCACAAAAGCCTTTAGTCTTGCAGCCTAAACCCAAGTGGATCAACTGCCTTCTAAAGGGAAAAGTATCAACATACTCCACAGACACTGAACAGTAAAGCCTCAGAACAGAATCAGAAAAATGTCTGATATTAAGTCCAAAAATACATGGGATATGAAGAACCAAGAAAATCTGGATTTCCATGGAGAGGGGCAAGCAACAGATGCATGCACAGAGAAGACACAGATGAGGGAATTATCTGATAAAGATCTTAAAGCAGCTATCAGAAAAATTCCCCACCAAGCTATGGCAGATATCTGGAAATGAACAGAAAGAACATGTCAGCAAAAGGGCTGGGGACACAGCTCGCTGGTAGAGTGCTTGCCTGGAATGCATGATGAAGGTCTGGCTTTAACCCCCAGTACCGCAAAGGGAAGGGAAGAGGAAGAATGGGAAGGGGAAGGGAAAGGAAACTGATTTCAATCCATAAACCTGAAAGAAGTACAGACTTCCCCAAATGTTTGGAAACTAGCAGGTCTTGGCTATACTTCATAAGCTGTGTCTTGAATCTCAAATAGCAAGAAAAAAAAAAACAAAAATCAGCTGAGACAGTTGGAAGGTATTTCACGCAAACCACAGAGCCATTCTGGATTCTCACTGAGATCAGAATGAAACCATTTGTTTCTGAGCATCCGCACCTTCCTTCGACTGACCTTGCTGCTGAATACTTACTGTGATTTCTGTGCTGCAGGACATCCCAAGTTCAAAATAAGATGGCTACATCTTAGTAATGCATGTTGGAGAAAAACCAATTTCTATGATAAATGGTGTGATTCCTGTCTTGTTTTGGGGCAGTGTTAGCAGCCGCGTCGAAGCACAGCATATCCATTCCTGAGAAGCACAGCTCCCTGTGCACCCTAATGCTTGTTAGCCTCCCTGGAAGGTGTCAGGCTGAGCTGCAAGGCACAGGGACAGAACCTTTTCTAACCCTCTGTCATATCAGAGGGAGGCTCTCACTGGTCAGGCCCATTGCAGGGAGCCTTGGAGAAGTGGAATGCAGACTTGTAGAAAGGGCACTGGAGAGCACAGGGTACACATGGCACTCCAAATTTAGAAGATAAAGAAAAAAAGATGGTCCCATGTGATGAGGACAGAGTCAGACTGGAGCACAGCATATAATCCAAGGATGAAAGAGGAAGCTGGATTGGAAAGACTGATGGGGCTTGTATTAGGCAGGACTCTCAGTGGAAGTACTGAAACCTAATTCAAATTAGGTGAATCAAACAAAGGTAAGGAATCATTACCTCTCATAACTGGGATTGTCACCAGGCTGGGTCTGAGAAGGTCCCTGAAGCAAGGATGAGTTTGCAGGTTCACTGACTACTGTAATGGTGAAAGAATTTTCAGCTGCCTCAGTAAGAGGCATGGGAAGGGTTCATTAGACAAGATTTAATATATGTGCTGCTGAAGCAAGCACTAGTAGATGACTTAAAAGGTACACACTCAAAGTACAGTCGTTTTACTTCTGAAACAGGAAACACTTCTGCTTCTCTTGAGGGGGTAGAAACCCTAGGAAAGGGGCCACCTGCAAGGTGCCCCATTCTACAGGAACAGGCAGAGCTTCTGTTTTTGTTTTGAAAAGATCAACATTCTTTGGATTCTCTCAACGTGCTCCTCTGTCTTAGGATCGGGTTCCTGCTTTTTACTTTCCCAAGCCAATTTAGGGGCTGTTAGCATTCCTGTGGAATTTTGCGTGTGAAGGTCTGGTAGTGAAGGAGCCCAAAGGACACTGATACAGATCACCTTGGGTAACTCAGCTGGCTCCTGGAAGTTGCAGTGTTCTAAAATGTACAATTTTTAGTTATGATTTCCTTGTCTCCTCTCTACCTTTTACTCTCTCTGTCCTACCTTGGGATGTCCAGGGATGTGGCGGGCCTCAGGCATTTTAATCCAAGTGTTTAAAAAGTCCTCCATTTCTCTCGCCCCTTCATCAGCTGTGCTTCCCGTAGGGTGCTGTCCTCACGCGCTCCCTCTGCAGGCCGACTTCCTCCAGGTAACCCTGAAGATCTGGGTGACTGCAAGGCAGGAATGCCATGCGCTCAGTCATCCCCACCCTGGCACGCCACACGGAGCACGGAGGTTTGGCTCTGAGCGCAGTGGAAAGCCACTGGAAGGTTTGGCTCAGGGCAGGGGCGTGAACAGGCTTGACTAGAAAGCCCACCGTGCCCAATGGGCAGACATGGGAAGGCAACTGCGGGGGAGCCCCGGAGTAATCTGAAGGAGCAGAGAAAACCTGCGCAGAGGGGAGGGTGATGGAGGGTAAGTGTCCTGTGGTGAGGACACTAACAGAATTCTGTGGGTAGCGGGGATACAAATCACTTGGCTGTGGCTTTCTGGTCTGGACTGCCACTGGATGGTGACAATGCTCAGAAGAAGAGCTGTGGGAGGCGGCCTTTCTCAAGGTCCAGGCTCAGGGCTGGGTGTTAGCTCTATGGCAGAGCACTTGCGCAGAACACTGACGGCCCTGGGCTCAATCCGCAGTACCATGTGCAAACAAAGTACGTTCTCAAAGCCCAGTCTATCAGTGGTGGGGAAAGTATGGCATGCATGTTTGTCTTTTAAGACAAAATGTTAATATATGAGTTTAACTGCAGTTTGGGCACTTTGCAATAAGCGGGTTTTAGGTTGCAGTTTGGGCATTTGTCTCTAACAGGTTTGCCGTCGCTGCTCTAGGTCTTCATTGCTTGCTATAAACCAGGGTTGGCTTTGTCCTTACCTGTTAGGCTAATTGTATACACCTGGTGTCTACCGTTGAGCAAAGCTATCGTACTGACACCAGGGAGGCCAGTTCAGTGGCAGCATGTCCTGTCAGCCCTTCAGCCACTGCTGAGTTTCCTGAAAATGCCCATTTTCTCTCCGTCCCTAGTTTCCTTCGTGAAGGGAATGTCCTCCACTTTGCTCAGGGTAGGCTCCCCAGCCTCACCAATTACACCCAAACATTCCCAGCACCCTCCTCCTCAGTACTATGCTGTCCTCAGAGCTCCCTTTGCACCTCCGTAACAGCAGGCTACCACTGCGTCCAAGTCTCAGAGGGTGACACACAAGCCTGCTAGGATACACCTGGGTCTTTGCCAGGAGGCTCCTGTGTCAGTATTTCCTCCTCCCATCATTTCCCCAACCCCAATCCCAAACCCTCAAGATCCACTTCCACACTCACGCCCCTAAGTCTTGCTAAGCTACGTGTCATTTGGCCTCCTAGCACCATTTCATCTGTGTACTGGGCTGTGCTTCCAGCTGACTCTGGTTTGGCCCAGAGGCAAGTCTTGGAGGGGGCAGAGCTTGAAAAGGACAAATGCCCCTTGTGAGGTCATGCTTCCTGAGTATGCGGCAGGTCCGCTCGGTACTCCATGGTCCAAGAAGACATGAACCAGAGCGAAGAGGTATCTGGTACCAAAAGGCACTTGCTCAGCCACTGCCAAGTCACTATACTCTTCAGCTGCTGAAGAATGCATGTCTGTTATCCCAACTGCCTGGAAAGCTGAGACAGGAGGATCCTGAGTTCAAAATCAGCTTGGACAACTTGGTGAGACTATCTGAAAATATTTTTAATTTTAAAAAAGCGTAAGGATGTGGCCCGGTGGCAGACAGCTTGTTTTTAGTATGAGGCACTAGGCTCAATCCTCAGTACTAAAACAACACTTTAGATTTAGCTACCGTTTGTCAGGATCTCCCAGGGCCTCCGGCTCACGTGCCTCCCTCTCTCATCCTCCTGGCTTCTGTCACTTCCCAGCCCAGAGCAGGAACAGCCCTGGCTCCCTGCCACAGTTCTGCTTGGCTCAGCCTGGAATATAATGACCCAGAGAGTCCTGCTTAGAACATGTCACGGTCGAAGCCAGGCTCTGTGGAGCCAAAGAGTACACTGAGTCATTTTAAAAGCTTGTTATTTTTGAGGCCCCAAGCTCCAAAAACGAATTCAGAAAGAAAAGGAAAAAAATAACAAGACAGCAGGAATATGGCCTCCTCCACAACCAAGGCTGTCAGCTGAACCAATTTAGACAGCTCAACTCACGCACTTCGCTCTACCTCGGAAAAAAGCCCTTCAGCACAGCACAAGCGTGTGCACACACACACCTCACACACACACAGCAAGACCGGGGCTCAGAGCTATTCAGCATGAAAGAAGCAAACTTGCTTCATTTTATTTAAGTGTTCATCTGCTCCTCCTAGGGAGAGGAGAAGGATTGAAGGTTGAGTTGATCACTCTTAGCTGTCACTGTGATAAATACCTGATAAACAACCTGTAAGGAAGGCTGGCTTATTTTCACTGTGGTTTGGGGAGTCTATGGCTAGTTGGCTGTGTTGCTTTTGGTCCCTTGGTGACAAAGAAATCACAGCAGGGGAAATATGGCAGCAGGAAATCAAAAATAAGAGGAGGCCAGAGCCCAGTGTCCTCTTCAAGGACACAGCCACGGTAAGCTCACTTCTTCCCCCCACCCTCCCAGCACCTCCCAACCAGTGCCACACCCAGACCTTAGGAGGCCACGCACACAAGTCAGCAATCACCCAATGACCAGTAAGCTATCCTGCCCACACTCAAGAACTACCAACTAGAGCTAGGGGAACAGTGACTCGGCCTTGGTGACAAGAATACAAATGTTTGTGATAGCAGTGTTTCAACTTTCTTGTAGCTTTAAATATTTCACAGTAAGGGTTGGGAACAAGACTAAGTGGCAAAGTACTTTGCCTAGCATATGAAAGGTCCTCAGTTCAACCCCAGGCACTGCCAAAAATATTTTTTTCAAAATAGAGGAAATAAGCCAATGACAGAGGATTATCTAATTTTGAAACATTTAAATTTAATCAAGAATGTTCCATTTTCCAAAAAAACGAAGGAACCTATTAAACTTCTAATCAAATTTTTAAAATATATCAT